CATCTGAGATAATCTCTGAGTTCCTGAATATTAATGATATGGAGGTTATGCATTAAATAACCCTTCGTTAAATGAACACCGAATTTTTTCGATCTTATTATTTTAGAAGTATAATTTTTTTGAATTCTCTCCCAATTAGAGGTTGTTTGACTTTCTTTTCGCAGCCACGGTCCGACTTTGGAAATGATCATGCATACAATGGACTCCGGACTAGGTGCGTTCCTCTAAGTCTTCCAATATGACCAATATGACCGTGTTGTGAAGACTAGGCCAAACAACCTCTATACACCGAAAGGAGACTGCGACCACACAAAAGGCCACACCATCTTGGTCTTCATACCTCTTTCATATACTGAATTTCGATTATTAACATATTTACTATCGCTTTGTTTAATCGATTCTTCCATTCTGTCTTCGCGACACTTAACACTTATATTTCAACAGATAGCAAAGCATGTTATCATGATAGGACCCCTTCTTCGAAATATCAACTCCTCTCACTGAAGAAAAAGGAGGAAAGTATTAAATACTAATAATTATTAGAATAATCAATTAGTAATTAATAATTATGCTTACTTATTAGGCAATTTTCTTCAGGGCATGCCGAATCCTCTCTTCCTGAAATTCCTCTACGCGATGTCTCAATAGATAAAAGGTAATCTCTTATTTAATCGTTATCACACCCCATAGCACCATACAAAAGTGATTCCCTTAACATACATTCTGTTCATGCTACAGAAGGGTCAAAATAAAAATGCATGGAAGTTGGATATGATAGAAAGTACAACCGTATAAAATCGCTAAGGGATTCTCAGTGACACTACTTTTATTCGTATATAAAGAGACCAAGTTGTTGGGCTGCCAGCTTTTTTAAGTGAAGCGCCTATTTAGCCTAATCACATTTTTTTATCCAACCTTAAATTGCTGCTCTTTTGTATCTTTGATAGCACTATCACATTCGGATGCACTAATTCTTCTTAGCAGGCTTTTTACCCTCTATTGCAAACTTATTGATGCCTCCATCCAATAGTTGGCCAATCTATTATCCTGGGACTTGGAAGACGCGCAACGCTGCCTTCGGATCTACACTTATCTGGCACGACTATGTAATTCATCTGAAGCTAGGTTTTCAGTAGCCCCAGGGGCCTGCATCCGAGTGGGCGCCAACTCCGACCATCAGGCCTTCTATTGCACACCTGACGACGACGATATCACTGGAAACCTCTTGGAGTCGCGTCAGTTGCTTAGCTGGTGTGTGTATACTCGGTGCACCTGGCCCATCGGACATTCTGAGGTTAAATCTGAGTTGACAATGAAGAAGGAACCCGACGGGCAGTTTGTGCTCAAGCCCGGGCTTAGCTTGCATCGTTTGGCGCACTTGGGTTAGTCTAGATCTTTTCTGTATGCTTGTTTTTGTGCTAAGCAGGCCATAATGACATCCTATTACTAGAACTCCGAAGTAGCCTGAAGTAGCCAATAGATATCGAGATGTTGCTTTAAGGATTTTCCTATAAGGAGAATTCTCTATTTCTTTAAGGCCTGATTACATATGGATAGTTGCTGTCT